CATGTCGAGAGATTGTTTTGCAGCAGATCTTTGAAAGTTAGTTGAATGTCGATCATGCAGAGCAGCTCAATACAGGTAATGTTTAAAAGAATCATTTAATGCATTCAAAACAAATTAAAGCATTACGGAATAATCCAAGAAAGAAACAAGGTTGCCTATTTTCTCTGTGTTTGTATGATACCATATTGCAAGTATCGATGGACAAAAGTCTGACAGGAAATGAGCTTCGATGTAACGGGGAGCCATACTGCTACAAGCAGTTTGCCGACATTTCGTTCATAACGGGAAATTCATGCTAAAGGTTACGGAAGCCCAGCTGACCGGCAGAAGGCCTAGAGGACGGCCAAGATTAACCTGGTGCAATTACATAGGAGTATGTTTCGGAGTCCAGTTGTCTTCTGCCGGACAGAAGCTCAGACTCTGGCACATGATCGGGAACGTTGGAAGCATTGCCTGACGCGCCTGTCTCCGCGACCCGAAATGAGAAGCGGTCATGGAAGATGAAGGTTACGGCATGAAGATCGATTAGAAAGACTTATCATTTACAACTGTAAAGGTCAAAAATACAAGTATGACGACTTCGTCGCAACTTTGACGCGAAGCTCCATCTGACTCTAAAGTCAAGCAACATTTTTTTAGCACGGGGTAATTATTGCACTTCACTAGTACCCTGTAGTGCGGCGCCACCTGTTCAAGAACAATGACCTGATTAGGAGAGAACGGTCCATTCCTGGAATATATAGAAACACTGAAACTATAAGACCTCTGTGTGAGTGAGTGCCCACTGCGAAGGTTAAGTAAAAGTTCTGAATTATATTGATGAAGTAAAGATTCTCTGTGATGAAACCACAGGAATAGCACACTAACGAACGCAGTACCTCAGTATCAGTGCAGCAGCTGCTGTAAATGTCCAAATTTGCTACTTTGGTAAGTTATTGACAGGAAATGGAACAGGCGTCCGGGAGCTCAGAAGAGGACAAATTAAATTTTACAAACTATAAGCAGCTGAACAAGATTTAGAGCATTCGAAGGACATAAAACGCGACACGAATGCAAGTGTCTCAGTGCAATTGCTGGTCTGCCGATGATGTAACTAGAAGCTGAATTTCGAGGAGACCTACAGAACACATGACACTGGTAGCGGGCCATGGGCCTGCTTGAGAAAAGTCACGGAAATCTCTAGACTTGACAGAGTTCATAATGACGTACAAGAAGGAGCCGCACATCCGGTACTTACCATAGAACAAAGCCGATTAGATGATCAGGAATGACATAAAACATTATGAGCAAACGCTTTGAAAATGTCTGTCGAGAAAATAACGCTTGAAAATAAAACCAGCTGGTGATGAGAAACTGGAAAGAAAAATTAGCATAAACCAATTGCCTAAAACGGGCAGAAGATGTGAGTACAGCTTGCACAGAATAAATGCTACTAGGGTAGTGGCAAATTATTAAGATTTAACCAATTGGATTATGTTAAATTTGTTTTGGCCTATTTTATATAGTGCAATATTTTGGCTAAAGAGTATTCTCTTTCCATAGAACTGTACGACTGTCCTTGCCTCAGGTTTATCACTGTTAGTGAAGATGGAAACCGTTGTTCAACGAGAAGGTTATAACAAGGGTTGGGCATTATTAGCTTCGATGCATATTGAGGGTTCGATCAGAGCCATGTAGTAGCTAGTGATTATCATATCCTGGGATATGTAGAGGTTATGAGGAAGAGGTTGACTGTGCTAAATAAACTAGTTCAGCATAAGCTTTTCACTCCAGTCGTCAAGCTCAGAAAATCAGTGGCGCAGTGAATATATAGTTTCATTTACACTTTAGAGATGCAACATTCGAACCGAAGTGCGGCATAATTTTCTTAACGACTAGATCCCATGAACGACAAATTCGTTCTGTGCTTCGATGCAGCTAGCAGTCAGACGACCGGCAAGTCTTAACCCGCGAACAATCGGGACATGATGGTGTTCTGACGTGATCACGCAGCAGCAGGTGAGACGCATGACAAAGCGCGCCGATTGCCACACGCACTTTACTGCTGCGATTGACCTCAACCTTCCTTCCCGATGAATGAATTCAGCACGGTGCGCAATTTAAATTTAGTTCATTATTTTCATATGGGTGTTGAAACAGGGTATACCTGGCTCATACAGCCGTTGTGCAATATGGATAAGTAATATGTGAGCAGATCTAGAATCAGGGAGGGTTTGTTCCTTCTGTAATGTAGTAAGTGCTATTAAACTTACAAAAACGGAGAAAGTGGCAGAGTTCGATAGCTAGAGATGTTCTGCTACCGCAAGCAATTCAAAATGATGATCACAAAAAATGAAAAATTATGAATTAGATGTTCAAGAATGATCCGCAAATTCTGTTCTAAGTCAAACGATGCGCTGATAATGACGTTCGTGAGATTCTCATCGGTTTTATGTGAGATTTGTAAAACTTGCAATGACAAACGTTATTCGTTTCTTGTTCAAAGATGTGCGATTTCAACTGCGAAAGGAAGCGACATGAAAGTTTACATGTAATCAACAAGGAACATAGAATCAACATGACTAATATATACATAGCTAGGATTTATGGAATCAGAAGTGATCGACCCGTCTTCTGGAATGTAAATCGGCAACCTTCTGCTAATGGCCGCAACACACCGCCTGGCATCGGTCCATCGAACTGAAGTTGTTCAGGTTTCCTTTGCACCCACTGTAGAAGAAGGACCGACACTGTTTGCTTTTCCGGTCGTACGCGAATCGCAGAACAGGCTCCATGTTGCACGTTCCTTGGTCAACGGGCAACTTGCAGAAAAACGCTAAAGCTGTCAGCGATACACGACCGAAACGGACAACAATGACGTTGCTGGCGATACCTGGGTCAGGACAGCACAGTTGCCACGAACCGGTCACGTGCGTGTGGCAGACGAAATTATCTGGACAACCGACCTGCTTTGAACAAGTCAGGATTTTGTCGTCCACTGCGTGTGGATCACCGTGCGGACAGAGGTTTCTGTATCCTACAGATACGATATCCTTCAGTGAGTCGACTCGCACAAATCGCCACATAACCTACCGATGCAGGAAGCCTCGCACTTTGCCTTATCCGGAAAATTGTTTTCGTTTCCGCCGTCCCCCGTGTAGTTGAACAAGGTGCACGTATCCAACACCTTGTTGTAATACCACCTTTGGAGCTGACCATTCCCAAATCCACTGTCGACATCCAGCGAGCATATGTACCCTGAAATAGTCCCTTTCGGACATGAATGTAAGTGCATGAGTCTGCTTGAACCATACATACCGCCTTTGGAACAACAAACTCCTGTGGTGCTGGCCGTATGCCCGTAATGACAGTAAAATCCGGGAGAACAGCTCTGCACTTTTGCACCGTAATGGCAACGCTGCGGCATACCATTCTGCATAGATGCTTGAGAATCTTTGCCGCATGAAACACTTGCTGAAAGCACCCGTTTTATGACTTGTAAAATTAACATTATCCATTACCGTAAATTTCTGTTAATGAAAATTGGCGAATCCTTCATTTGAAATAATGGCTTTAGTAGTCAACGGAGTGCTGGAACCTTTCATTTATAACGGGATATAAGACGCACCATAAGCTCCCGATACAGGTTCCATCTAGATTTTGGCAATGCAATCCATCAGCAGAAAAAAAGCTCAACTTGAGCGGTTTCCTATTCCACAGAAACAATACTGATGGAAGACCTGTCGCGGGCAATACAGGACTCCATAACTTCCAATAAAGACTGATTGGCGGATTCTGTGACAATGGGAATATAATACTGTGAGGCATTTCAATTCGAACATTGAAAGTTCCTGTAGAAGACACTAAGGGCAGGTGAGAAAGTTCAACTTCCTCTCCATGTGCACTGAAATATGAATTAAAACAGTGGCAGGTGCTGATCTGTTGTTGAACCAATTGCTTGTATTGTACGCTTCATCAAAAGCGCTTCAATCGAAAGAAGAAAGAAACTAAAGAATGCGGCAGTGAGCTGCTGAAAAAAAGAATGCTCTGAATTTCGATTAGGAACAGGCTGCAAAGTAAAAACGCGGACAGGAACTAAAGCCGTGACATCAGTGGTAATGGGCAGAAAAGATGTTAGAAAGTTATTTTGTGCAATTGACAAGTGACAGGTAAACCTTTTAGTACCGAAGGAGCTGTTAGTAAATACTCAGAAGATCTTGGCTCAGATGGGACGAACAACTAAAGGGAAAATATGCACACACGATGTTACGAACCTCACTGACATGGGGTGATCTTCGATGACGGTGACAATATTCGATCAGGAATCAAGGTTAATGAATGTATGTTCTATGTTATTTTCGGTGCGGTTACCAACAAAAAACAAAACGCTTAATTTTGGTAAAAAAGTAAGAACATAAAAATGCGTACATAGTACACAGATTTTCTGGCACTGTTCTTGAGTAGCAAAATTGTTCGCATTTCCTCGGCTTCCTCTGTAAAAGAAAGGAAAGCATTGGTTACTTTCTGGTCGATATTGCCATCTAGTTAGTGGCCGTGAGTCTTCTCGCAAACTTTCGCCATTTTCCAGCGGTAGCGAACAACGGTTTTCACCTAAACATTAAGCGCTTGTTGACTAAAGCATGCTTTAGATAGTGTGTCTTACTTCCCGAACAGCATACCATCGTTTCGACTGTTGCACCTGGATGACACCAGAAGTTGTCTGGGCACTTCGCCTGTGGATCAGAACAGTTCGCAGGCTTCGCCGAGAATAGAAAGGGCGCCATTTCGCCTCGACAAGGATTTTGAACAGCAACTGTCGTTCCTACAATTACGTATTCATGAGATTGCCTGTTATTCGTGCGTTGGGGTTCATACAGTAAACTGAGAAATGTATAAAACTGGCTTATTCATTCACAACGCAACCAAATAAGTTAGTCATTTGGGTGACTGGCCGCTGCCGACATTTCGGTTCGCCTCTCACGATCCTTCTTCAGAGTGGTCCGGATTGGCTTACGCAGTTGGGTCTGCGGACCGCAGCTGTTGTGACACTTGAAACCAAAGATGTGCTTTCAGCACATGCTGCCGCTTAATTAGTTTTTCGCTAACGGGCTTGAAAAGGTGTGTTCAATCCGTGCAGAGTTCGTATTATTTGCCTTCGTTGACATTTTCACATGAATGGATAATTATGGCGTCTCAGATTCGTCTATTCAATCAGTTCTTTCCTTTAACGATGCCCGTGCGATGCGCAGCAGAGAATGGTCAAGTCCCCCTAATGGTTAGATTGCGATGGCATATTAGCATATAGGTATTGCAAAAGAAAACAGATTTTTCCGCAAACAATTTGACTCATAGTAAAACGAAACAACATTGCCTCTAACGGGTACAAAGAACATAACCAAGAGACAGCAGGAAGTGCATTCAACGGTTAAAGCTAGTTGTACAAACGAGTCAGTTAAAGCTAGTTGTACATTTGGAGACGTTCGCCCGTGAGGAAATGATTACGTGGCGTTCGCAAAATACCAGGGCTACAGCAGCTGCAAAAATTCAGAAAGTAAGTGACGTCTCTGAAATGGTCTTCAGTAGCATATCTGTACTAACAGTCATTGATGTCAATATCGGACACCGGAAAGCAACTGTTGGGCAGGAATTCCCTCGCCGAAACTTAATAAACATTAGAAGTTGTTCGTACACCGGAATAAGTCAAGTAAGGCACTCCTCCAAGACCAGATTTAACGGTCTATTACCTCGTCGCTATGCTCCCGGTTGCATGGGAGGTCACTAAGCAGGTCATGGCTCCACTGAACTGAAGCAGTGGCCTATTAGCATATTTAGTTCCAATACTAGCACTAGTTTTCCCGCTGATACCACCTCGAGCCCTTCATGATGTGCATCTCGCATTGCAGGTGCTCAAATACCATGGAGTCGCAGTCTGCCCCTTCAGCAATTAGGACAAAGGCGGCGGTAAAATCGGGTCGGTCTTGGAAAAGTCATGCATCATTTGTCGAAATCTGTAAAACAGCGGAATAATCGCATCTGGACGTTCGCAGGATACTCATGAAGACGAATCGAAACATTGCGAAGTTCTGCCAGACAGTCTGCCACTAATCGGCTGAGTACTATTCGTCGCTCTGGGCTCACTCGTCCCAGTCAGATAGACTGATACGAATCTAAATTCCCCATTCTGGTGCAGCACTTCCTGGTTGTCGATTCTCAGTAATATCGTCCATCCTCGCACACTCAGGGAAGCAGCGCAATTTAGTTCGATGACGACAATGCAGCTGTTTTAATGTAATTTAAAACTGCTGTTGCGCGCAGGTCCTCTCAATCTACCCATCAAACAGTCTTGATGGTAGCAGTTGCAAAGAGTCAATGCCTAGCAGAAACGCAATGGCAGCGGAAGTGGTTGTTTGTGGTAGTGACGAATGCTCTAACTGAAAACCCCACAATCCATCAGCTAGGCTTCTTTCGACGCAGAAGCTGAGTGCTGCCTCATCGATACTTCAAGGGCGGTACGGGCTTCACGACTACCGCTAAAGTATCTGAACGCAGCCTGATCTGCGGCTGTAGTCAACTGCTACCCATATACACTGTTAGCACTATTACGACTTCGCGTGATCCGACTGGAGGTTGGCTTGACAGCCCTGAACTGAGTATAAACAGCTGCATATTGGTGTGACACTTTCTGCATTCTATAAGTACATAATGAATCTGATGAGTGGAAAACGGGTCAGCACCTGACCTTGTCAGTTATCGGCAACAGCGAGCCACATCACCTGTGAATGAACACAACACAGCTGCGCCAAAGTATCCATTCAAAAACAGTCCAGCAAGCAATAACCCAAACGTCTAATTCTGCGTTCAACGCAGGACTGAAAACATGTACATCTGTCTAGCATATGTAGCTGTAATACTGCAAAAGGGCCTAGCAAAAATTAAGAACTTGTTCCTAGACCTTGGCTTCTGATGCAGTGTCAATGTATATCCTGCTAACTAGTTTTACCTATTTTGGGATT